AAAACTCTCTTCATGAACCTGGACTTCAAAGAAGACATCGCGGCAGGAAATCTTAGATACCACCTTTCTGAAGAAGACATTTCAAGGAGCCACCTTACGTATCACATTCTCCAGCAGACAGTTAATCCAGTCCAACGTTAATGATAAGATACCGCATTTGGCCACTTCAATGTGTATTTATCAATTTACTTGCTTGAGAAGAGCAAAGTATATCGGCCATACGCAACGTCAAGTCCACAAGCGTATTCTGGAACATTGTCCAGCTTGGTTAGCCAGAGGAGAAAAAAACATCACCAGCTCCACCCGCGAATATTTTGGCATTTCCGAACATCGAGCACCCCCGCATGAATGCTTCACAGTGCTACACAGAATCCCCCAATATCGTACAAAAGGACTTCGCATACACCATCTGTACATAGCTGAAGCGTTGGCTATTCGGGATCCGAAACCGGACCTCTGCATTCAAAAGCGTTGCATGCATTCATTTCCCCTATCGTGGCCAGAGTAAGGTTCTTAATATAATTTTCCTTCTTTTTTGTTATGTAAGTTTACTATTATTATTGTTATTACTACTATTATTTTGTTATCATTATTATTTCCCATAATCCATATTTTATTACTACTCTATTACCTACCGTTTATTAAGAACATTGCGTTTTCATACAGATTTTATATAAAAACACTTTATCGTCTTCCCACTAGTTCCTGTTCATTCTACACGAGCTTATTGATTAGTCATTATCTCACACTTACTACGTCATGCCAAATTCTGCCTCTTTTCTAACTTCCAATTAGTCATCCCTTCTAGGTTGCACCTTACATTACGTAATGCATCTTTCGAGGACAAAGTTAACCAGTATCTGATCTGTCTAATGATTTTAAAAAAAAATTTAATTACGATTGTACAGCTCATGAAAATGAATCGTCGAAAAGAAATTTTTCTTCGTTTTTCTGCTTGTTTTTTTAGCTTACATTTGTGTGTTTTTCTACTAGTTAATATTATCCAAACTAAACTTCTTGGTCTATTTGTCTGTTTTTTTTTATGCGTAAATCTAGTAACATAATTGTTTTTATGGTAACTTGTGAATGCTTCACTGTTTGCCATCGGTTGATCGGCTTGATCGGACTCTCTAGACATACGGAGTCTTAAAGGGTGTATTTAGTGTATATGGCTACTCACTCTTATCATAAACCTCTAGGCTTACGGTGTCTTACTTCGTCGAAAGTTGCGGGCGTAGATAATATTTGTATATATCACAAAGTCCTTTCGCATAGGGAGTCCCACAAATTCCAAGTAAGATGTACGTAAATGAGTTTGCAAAATCTGATGTAATGTACCATATGTCCCTGCGTGTTTTTTTATCACTGAATGCGGCAATGTTTAGTTCGACAGATATATGACATAAAGGGACTACTTCTAAATTGGTAAGCTTTTAATAAACTGAATCAATTAGTAAATGTCAACGATCGGATCAGAATATAAGGGAGATGAAACAGGAATTAAGTTCATTTCGGATGAACACAATAACCAAGTAGGTTGTACAAAGTCTTTTTTTTTAAGGAAAGCCAAATTGTACAGGTAAACTAAGTGCGCTCACAACTAGTATGTTTTGGTCAACTTTTAGAAGTATTTTACCAGGGATCACAATCAATGGGCATAATGGTATTTCAACGTTGGGTAGCTGTGAATGATATGAAGATGAACTGCGTAATTTCTAGTCCATTCCAGCTATGTAATATCAATATACTCTTTTCAGGTGATTATTTATTCTCTAGCTTTTACAGACGGTAGTTAAATTGTTGCATATATATATATATATATATATATATATATATATATTTCGTGTGCATTCTATATTTCACAATCATGCTAGTTTAAGCTTGATTTCGTGGGCCAGACTTTTCAGGTACCAGGCTAAAAGCTACACTTATCGTTTAAAGGCTTATGATACTACTCAATCGCCCGTAATGAAGTGCGTGAAGCCCGACTCCAACCCGTCGTCACTGCTTATATATTTTATATATATATGTATATTTTTTTTTTATATTTTGATTACAGCTTGATGCCACACCGTATTTTCAGTACAAGTATGGAATTTTCAGCATGTGATATCGGTAGCCCAAATTTAGCAGGCCGACCATAGATATCGGGTGTGCGTCGGCAGGGGATCGAACCCCGGACCATGTGCATGGTCGGTGAGAGTCCTTACCACTGTGCTTACGAAGGTTCACCACATAGATATTAAAACAACGTGATAAAAACTACAAAAACAAATTAGCATAATCTATAACCACTGAAAGAAGATAAAATTTAAATGAACTAGCTGAAAACAGTGGCTCAATGAGACGGGAAAAAACTCACAAAATTATGTAAACTGTCAGCAGCCGCCTGTGCTTAATCTTCAAGGTAAACAGCTGGAAATAATCAGAAAGTTAATGCGTCTGAGGAGTTGTGTGATTCCTATCAGAGCTGTGACGTTGCTACTCACATATCGAAAGCCGAATTGATGTATATTTTAATCCGAACTATGAAGCTATAGAGAAAAAATTATGGCTCCGATAGATGAGTCTGGTGCTGCTGTGTTCTCTAAGCTAAAAATGGTTTAGTTGAAAAGTTTTAATTTCGCTTATGCACACTAAAATGCTCTAACTCGATTCTAACGACAGATTAACAGCACACTATAGTGAGTTGACCTGTTCTGCAGGTGCGAAATTTAGCTTTTTCGATCTAAGGACATTCGACAACTGCATTCACAGGATTGGTGTCATCCGACAGTGACTACTCGGATATGATGGAAACTATTTAGTGAGTGAAGTCGTTTGCAGTGGTTTGAGTATAAGCTACTAAAATCTCCTCGGTAGCTTCTGTACCGCCTACTACTTTTTTGGTTTTCACGCTGATGGGAAGAGTAATGCACAGGTGATGATACAGAGTAATTTATAGGACAAGCAGCTGCTTAGCCTTTTTCAGTGGAGTTAGAGGGATCACGTGACTTGGTAGATGAAGATGTGCTGCTAAATATTTATCAGAATCTTATCTAATGCTGATTATGCTGTAGCTTTCATATTCCAACGCTTAAAAAATGACAAAACAGTTTTTGCTTGATCACTTCGCTAACAGTAAATTGTGATTTTCCACTCTTCCTCCTGTTGGCGTCATAGTTTTTTGTATAACCCATCTTTTTGGTACTCTTGAAGTACCGAGGTTTTGTGGTGAACTAATCTAGGTACTAGACTTTCCGATCACTGCGTTGTGGGTTTGAACCCCGCTCCTCCTACTGACGTTCACGTAGACAGGCAGTAACATTTCCATCTCCAATTTCCACGCAGTACTAATCTTGTTACAAATCAATAACAAATCGGTAACAGGATGAGATTGTTTTACCAGGTTCTTTTTTATCAGCCGTATATGGTGAACTAAGACTTGAAGCTATGTACAATGACAATTTTATCCGAAAGGCAGACAATAAAAGAGAATGCTGTAATAAACTAATTAGGTTACAATTAACACTTGTGAGTAAACTATATCCATCCATATAAATCTGCCACAGCAATTTGATTGAGAATAACACGCCTTACTTACCGATAACGCCTTGAATAACTAATATATATATATATATATATATATATATATATATGTATATATATAACAATGAGTATTAATGTCTACCTATGCATATAATCTTATCAAAATGACAGTTGAATGGAAACTGACATCAGTAAACTCAAATCACACGGTTTAATCTTATCACCATGAGGTTAATTTTTCTATTTGTTAAATCTGCTTGCATATGGGTGAGAACAAATATTGAGAGGTTAGTAGAAATAAAGGTGATTTGTGTGAGGTGAATTTGTTGGCAAGTTTGAATTTTATTGTGCATGTCGATGAAAAATAAACACTTAGGAAGGGAGAGGGTTGAAAGCCCTTTAACAGTTGGTTACTCAGTGAAATGCCTCATAATTAATGATAAACGGCAGGAGGTCTAGTTTCTCCATGAAATGTTATTTCCACCTGTAACTGATAAGTGTCACAGTTAAACATAACTTCCAGCAGGATAAAGGACACTAAGTGTCGTCGGCACAATCACAAATACAAGAAAATTCTCCCTTAGTAATAATTTCACATACTTGGCCTTTCTACATATTATCACATAACTTGAAGACAATGAGAACAAAAACTCCAACCACAAACTACAACTGTGACTTCATTTTGTTATTAAGTCTTACGTCATGAAACTGTGATTAAATTTGTATCAGAGAGAGAGAGAGAGTGAGAACAGAAGTTAAAAGGTATCGCATATGCTACTGTTTGATACAGACTAACAAGATGGGGGCTATCAGTACCTTTAAATCGCAAGGTCACCGTACAATTTCAGCTCAGAGAGGCCAGAGTCCATCAGCTTAGAGCAAGACTATGCACACCGGAGCATTATAAACGCGACTTGTGACAGTTAGGTTGATGTTGCTGTGGCGCTAGAGGTGGCCCGAATTGGCATATGCTACCACAGCTTTCACTGTGTGGTTAGAGATCTCGTCCATCACACTTCCCCTAAAACTCACACAACTACCTAGATACACAAACTTGTCGACAAATTAAAGTGGTTCACCTGCAAGGGTAAATGCAGGTACAGGCTCTTGCCAATCCTAAAACAGCACTTTTCGCTTAGATGGCGCAAAGCAAATACCATACTTACAAACACTGATAGTCATGTGGTTAAGTGTGATTTGGGCAGCCTGCATGCTATCACCCAGTAAGACGGCATCGCCTGGATACCTGAGGTCAAAAGGTCTTTCTCCCAGAAGCAGATCTATACTACCACCACGCATGTCCATCGGAGCTGACTCTAGAATGTCATAGATGGCAAAGTTAAAGAGAAATAGAGAGATTGAGCTACTGGTTAGTAGCTAACGACACTAATGACACAGAACAAATGAACATTTTGCTGGAAAATAAAAAACTGTCTTGTGAAATAAAGCAAGAAACTATGCGCTGGACTTACGGGATATATCTGAAGGGAGGTAAGAACAAATGCAATAATCAACAATGGTTAGCAAGCAACTCAAACTTACCCAAAAATATTTAGTTGACAAGAAACGTATTTTTGCAAATTTTCCTGCAATTACAACTAAAAGTACATAACCACAACGAGCATAGAAAAAGTGAGTCATCCTCTCATACATAACCTGAGCTATGTTATAAACATGTATCATGTATCACAGATTAACAACCACCTTATATTTGTTATTTTGTGTGCTACTTTCAATAATGAACAGAGAGATAATAAAAAATAAAAATGAAATAATTACCTTTCAAAATAGCTCGTTTCATCTCCATGGTGATGACGTCGACCTCTTCGAGATGCAGTATCTTCGTTTGAACTATGATAAGTTTTTTTTTAAAGAGTTAAAATCGATGTATACAGTTAACAGTTAAATTTGTAATGAAGAACAGCGCATATTCAAATAAACACAGGCACTTGCTACAGTACCTTATTTTCTTGCTTTTATCACAATGATAATAATGTTTTTATATTTTATTCACTTTACTTTACACACCTTGTCTTCAATAACCAGATATTATCAGAGAATATTCATCAGTAAACAAGTAGTATGTAAATGCTACGATAGATTCGCACTCAAATAATCATTAATTCATTACTTTTAAATGAATCAACTACAATAGTGACAAAGGTAGTGTAACTGTTTAGCAGCTATTCACCTAGAAGGTGAAGTGGATCGTCACCGCAGACACTGGTTTGGGATAGTGCAATAACACAAATTTAAAAAAGTCCAGATTTACGCGTCATCGAATTTAAACCCAAGTGGCTAAATGGTCAATGGAGCTTGGTCTTCTAACCTGGAGGTATCGGGGTTCGACCTCCCTTGTGGGGTCGAGGGTGTGCCCTGTTGAAGAGTTCCACACTAAAACGAAACAACTCCATCCAGAGCTACCTCGTTTTGAATGATTTCTTTAACTGATGTTGATTCTTGACGAAATCTAACAACCAAAATAAAATTATTCCGAATTCCTGCTACTCCCATAGTTCGAAAATCACCACCTAGAAGTTGACAGAATCAGCTACGAGCAGTCATCCCACTGTCATTGGAATAAAAACCGAACTTCCGTCTTATTCGAGAAAAGCTGGTAGACTAAGATAATATATATATTAGATTATGAATAGCTGACTCATTACATTCTATCTGCAAAAACGGATTAAATGACAGGAAATGATTTGACTGATTGACGGATGGACTGGTTTCAGCATTACAACTTTGCATAGATATGCAGCAGTTCAAGTTGCCACTATCCATGTAGTACACAAAGCAAGAGAAGAGAATAAAGAGTTAATAAAAAGAAATGTGAATGAGGGAAAAAATAGTAATATGAAAGAACAATAGATTCCATTCTGAGTAAAATTTATTTTTCATAAAGTCTCACATTGTTATGCAGTAATATTTACTGATGACGTTTCCAGTACAATTTATTACTGCTCATAATCATACCAAGGTACTCACACAAATTTCTCACTTCGTTTATATAATTTCATTATTTTTCATAGCTTGACTTGATTGATAGTAGTATTTTCCATATTTCCGGTATGAGTTATGAGTCATTCTTATTGCACTCACTACTCATTGTCTCCAGCCAATGGTTTTTACCATCCCGAGGACCCCAACCAGACTGGCAGTCTACACCTCTCTACGTGACTGGTTTAAACTAACTGTTATGGATTTCATTGACTGACGAAGCCATTTTATGGTTGGACTACCACCAGTAGCTGTTCTCCAACCTGAACCCATGTTAGCTAATATTGCCCATCGAAGAAGACGATGGCTAAGCTAGAATGCGTAACATATGTCCTAACCATATTAATCGATATAACTTCGCAATCTCGTCGATTGATAAAGGATTTGAACAAAGAAACGGAATATCTAATACACTGGATTATGCGGTAAACCGTGCATGGGGAGAGAGAAGACAAGAATATGTTGGATCAATAAGAAGAATCTAAAAGATCTGGACTTTGTGGACGACTTTTGTCTAATATCACATAAGTTCGAAGGTTTACAGGCGGAAACCAACAAGCTGGTAGAAGAGGCCGGTGGTGTAGACCGGACTTCAGGTGAACAATGGGAAGACACACGTGACGAAGTTACCTAAGCAACAACAATAAGCATCATTCACTATCAACGGAAGGAATTCGAACGAGGTCACTTCCTTCACTCGTTTGGGCAGCATCGTCTCAACTACAAGCAGCATGGATCAAGATGTAAAAGACAGAATCAAAAACGCAAGACAGACATGCACTAGTCTCAAATCCGTGTGGAAAAATTACTGCATTAAACATAGAGAACAGGATCCTGACCTTAAATGATAATTATAAAATCAGTGCTTCTATACGGTTGAGAGACTTGGAGCATCACGAAAAGCAATTCCGGCCACTCTAGATGTGTCAACAGCTGCTTTCACTGGCTCGATACTGAAGATCACATGGTTAACCAAAAACGATAAGCAATAGAGAGCTGTGGGAATGAACCAGTCTAGAACCTAGAACCCAGTAAATATGCTGAAGGAAATGAAGACGGATCGGACATACCTTGAGGAGACTGAGTGATATCGCACACTAGGACGTCGAGTGGAACCCGAATGGGAAACAAGTTGGACGTGTGTATGACGGTGATACGTATGAGATGAGACCTTATTTGCAATCGCGGAGCCAGCTAAAGAGGATTCCAAAGAACAAGATGAAATGAAGATGTGCTGCTGGTCCTATGTTCCACTCGAAACCCAAGGGAATAATAAATAAAAATAACTAGGCAATGGGAAAAAGAGATTATTACTTACAACACTGAACCTGGACTTCGGTCTCCATGATCAACGATGTTAGTAAACTGACCAGTAGCAGGATCAATAACAGCATCATTCGGTCCAATAAGGCCTGATAATGCCATATTATTATTTGGCCACCCAGCTAAATTATTCACAACAGGAGGAGGCACTGCCAGATTAGGAAATAAAGCAGCAGCCGCTGCGGCTGCCGCCGCAACAGCAGCGGGATTCGTGGCATTCAAAACCTGTGAATTTGCAGCAGATGTCAATGATCCAAACCCAGGAGGAGGCATGTTAAAAACACCTGTACCACCACCGACGGCGTTTCCATCACCACCACCCAGATATCCAGGTGGCGGTTGATTGAATTGACTGAGTAAGCTAGAATTATTATTCGCATTTCCATTTAGTAGGAGTCGACTAGAAACATCAGATGGTGAACTGGTAGCTTTTGAATTAGTAACTGAATTTATTTGTCGTGTATTTAGTCCAGAAGTGCTAAGATTAATTACATTAATACTAGCTTGTTTAGAAGTCTCATTTGAACGAGAATTCGAAGAAACAGCACCGGTACGAACTCGTTGTAATAAACCAGTACCTCCACTATTCAAAACAGGCTTCAGAGTTGTATTTGCATATTCCTGTCTAAGAATTTTTTGCTTTTCACAGTACTGAACCCATGTCTCTTCAGTAAATCCATAATTGAAATAGTCTGTTATGTCAGCTCCAGGTCGTTTCCATGGTTTCTCTTCATCACCCAATATAGACAGGTTATACTCTACCGTTGGAATACCATTAATATTTCCTGGATCATCGAGTTCAACGCCTTGACGAGCAACTTTTTGATCTGAAAGTATGAATAAATCAATTCATAATGACTAAACTATCAAGAGGAAAATAGTGAGTAGTCAACATAAGGTTTCTCAGGAAACTTTAGTTTTCTCAAAGATTAATTTCACAAGTGAATCACGAACATAGACAATAATAAGGGGCTATCGTGCTTTCATATAATTCTAGTGTATCTCAGTCACTTCCGAATTTTTGACCATCATTAAAAATTAACTATCACATTTCCATTTGGAATCTTAGTTGTGTAAACAAGCAAAAAACAGTATGAGAATACTTCCTTATTCCATTATTCGACATATCGTTTAAACGACTAAATTATCATTACCAAAATATTAACCGTGATATACACACACCAAGATCTTACCTAAGCTATTATAAAAGTTCGAAGTGAGTTTAGAGCATATGGTTCTCACAAAAATTCGACACGAATTTTATTTTCAAATGTAAGAAATTCAAGATTACACTTAGTTATTGTGGACTTGTTGTAACTGAAACTTACTTCATACTGCACATACTTACTTCTTTCTGGTGATCAAATGGAAAAGTGTATTCTTAATCACTCAAACTAAAAGGTTGCGTTCATTTCTTGATAAATCTAATGAAATGCTAGACAAATAAATATAGACAAGTCCACCAAACTTTGACTTCTGACATCTTTTGTAAGATATGGTAGAGGAGAGAGGAATGTAGCCAAGGTAACTGAATATTTAAATTCATATGGATAACAATTATTTTTGCATTGACGTAACTTAGAGCTTTTAAATATAGCATGGCATTGTTGAAGCAGTTAAGTAAGAGTTGATGGTTTACTCTTTATTGAATGGAATTTTGAACCTCTAATGTGTTGAATTTTGTTCGAACATAAAATGTAGTCGCTAGCACTCTTAAATCTTGTGAAAAGTAAACCCTGTCAGATAAAAACACCTGCGTTATCGATAACTGAAATTATGGATACCAAAAAGACAACCCACAACAGGGATATTTTTGCAAACTGTCAATCTTAAATATGAACAGGATGGAAGGTGTGTATTAGTACTCCCAAAAGTAAAAAAAGATGTACAGTATGTGTTAAGACTTGTTATACAATGTGCAGCTCTGATAAACTCAAAATGTTTACACTTTATAAGCAGGATCTACATTACATCCCCATATACAAGACGGTTGCACACTTTAATGCTAAAGCTTTGACTACTGTCACTAAGCATCATAATTCACTGGTTGTCAGAAGAACAGTACCAATATGCAATATAGTTACTGGTTGGAAGAGCCGATGTGCTCATCCACAAAAACATCACACTACGGAGAGATATAAATTACCCTTTGAAGATGAGCCTGAAAAAATACCGACAAAAGGACAGAAAGCAGCGAGTTCGTAAAAATGTTAGTTGAGCTGCAGCTAAATATCGTTCATGTGAATTTATCGTGTGAGCTGTATAAAGAGAGACAGTATGAAATGGCGGTAAATACACATTACATTTATGCCAGAGCTGTGAAAAACAATAGGAGAATAAGCCGGCGTCTCGTACGTCACCGTAGTTCACTACATTTAGACGCAGAATTGTTGGAGTGCACAATTCCCAACCAAAAGATCACTTCTACAAATATCATGAAGGCGTTTCTAGGAAGGCAAAAATGAATGTAGTTTTCCCTTCATGCATACCACTCAAATACTGGTCAATTGTGACTTACGCTGAGTAGTGTGTACGATGGATCGTGCCTGATAGGTTGTCCCAGTCTTGTAAATCCCTGTCTTGCTAGAAGGCTTTATTATAACATTGACTGTATCATCATCGGCATCATCTTCCTCACACTGATCGTTTGCATCAAAGTCGGCAACTGCGGCCGCAATTGCAGCATTCCTTTCATCATCCGCATTCGAACAAAAACTCTTATCATTTGCATTAGTGGACTCCCCAGGTGCTTCTGTTTGTTCACTTTCCCCGTCAAGCACGTTAGTATCCACTACTGATGTATTGAGAGAATTATCATCATGTTCATCTGTTGTTTCAGGAAACTTAAGACAAGAAACAATGATGCGTTATTAATACAACATACCTCATTATCCATCTCAAGGAGACGGATTAAATTAGGCGGTATTCAATTCCCAATGTACAATTTACAACCTAGTATAAAGCAGGTAGACGTTAAAATTTCACTTGGAAATTTTTTTGTCAATAATTTTTAATAAAATTTTGCCATATGTTTTCTGGATTGATGAGAATTCCCATTTTCTGGCCTGTTATTTTGGTGTCCGCGTCATGTAATCTGACTGCGACACCCCCTAGCATATTGGTTGCAACGATCAGTGTTTCAGGCGAACTGTAGCAAAATATCGCTATAGTGAGAAAGATAGGATAGTTGAAAGGTAATGTCATCTACACAAATAGTCTAATTTATTTAGATGCTGCACCTTTCAGCATGGTATCATTAAATTGAGACTTCACGTCTCAGGATAATAATTCAGCCTATTTTCGTGTGAAGAACAGTCCTTTTTGACGACAGAATTCTATCAGTACTTCGAAATCACCTGTAAATGCTAACAGAGCCTTCTGTGGGAATAGAAGTAATCATCTAGATGTGTCTCACATTATGTATGTTTTGAAAGGAATTATCGTAAGTTAAGAGGTTTTTTCGGCTGAAATTATCCCGCATGCTCAAGGTCACTGATGGAGTGAGACGCTCAAAGGTCATTTTCGTCCATGTTAGTCGGTTATGTTGGATTGCAGTTCCGTAGCCGTTCGTTTACACATTGGTTTTACGTTCTGTTGGCATTTATAGGTGATTCCCATGTACTGATAGCATTCTTTTGTAAAATAGTACTGTTCTTCACACGAAAATAGCCACATTTTGACGTAATCTTCATTGGATGACACTATGTCGAAAGCTGCAGCTACTACAAAAAACAAACTATTTGTGTAGATGACATTACCCCCCAACTACCCCATCTTCTTCATTGTATAGAGGTTTTGACGCATTCAGCATGAAACACTAATCATTACAACCAATATGCTAAGTGTGTCGCAGTCAGATTAAATGACGCGGACACCAACATAACTAGCCAGGAAATGAGAATTCCCATCAATCCAGAAAACATATGACAAAATTTTATTAAAAATTATTGACAAAACAAATTTGCCGAGCGAAATTTCAACCAACATGCCGGATAAGTCCAGCCGTTTTTTCTATATATATATTTGCACTGTTTGTTGTAGCGTAATAAGAGTTATATGGACTCAATGCATAAAAAATCTCAACTTTACTAATATTGTGCCATTGCTAAGCTGACTGCTTGGCTGGCAAACGTAGGTGGTTGTCGTGATTATTGTAAGTGCAGTGCAGTGGAGAAGGCAATCACTCATTTAAATTTCCTTACTGTGTCACTTAGTGCATTAATTCAGTGTATAGTATCATTATACACATGGATTGTGTTGATTATGAGAACAGAATCTAGTCAGCTCTATTACTATCAATCTACTGTCTGTTATGCCATTCTCACTGGCACTGTAAACTTAATGCTGCAATGTTTTTGATCACCAATAGTGATGATGAATTTCTCCTGAATTTTCCATTAACATGAAGAAGTACAGATGCCGCATCACGACTGAAAGTTTAGGTTGCATTATATGTCATTGTTATCCTCATCAACACAACAGGTCTGAGTATCTTACAATATTTTAAGTGTTTCTCTATGCTGCTAACACTGTGCATAGCTGTTTATAGTTGAAGCATGTTCAGCTTATATTTGATGGCTACAGATTCCTTAATGTGAGAATGTAATTTCTGTAGGATTCATAAAACTATGCTCCTTAGACATTACTTAGATTATGGATCACACCGTCTCTGGCGTAGTCGTGACATCCGGCTATCAACCAAGGGACGTGTGTACTGCTCAGCAGTTCGCTCCGTCCTTCTCTATGGCGGTGAGACGTGGCCATTGAGAGCGGAAGACATGAAGAGATTGTCTGTTTTTGACCGCAGATGTTTACGATCTCTTTATCGCGTTAGGTGGTATAATAAGGTAAGTAATGTTGACGTTAGGCGTAGAGTGTTGGGCAAAGAGGGAAAATCACTCGAAGAGGCTATGAAGTTACATAGATTGAGATGGTTAGGCCACGTGCTGCGCATGCCTAACCATCGTCTCCCCCGACGGGCATTACTAGGTGATATAGGTGCAGGTTGGAAAAGGATAAGTGGTGGCCAAACAAAAACATGGCCTCATCAATCCATGAAATCCCTGACAGTTAAACTGAGTCAGGTAGGGAGACGCAGACTTCCGGGTTGGGGCCGTCGGGACTCTAAGAATCAATGGCTGGAGACAATAGGTGACATGGCTCAAAATCGTTGTCAATGGAGCAGATGTATTCAGTCTCTTTAACCTTCATATTCCTTTCTACCATTACTCATTCTGTTTCACTCTTATACTTATCTAATTTCTATTGATTCTCTTCTCTCATTTTCTTGTCTACCTTTGTGTGCTATTTGGAACGTGGCACCTCGAACTGCTGCACTTCGGTGCCAAGTTCTATGTTGATACCAGCAGCAGCAGCATGGATCAATTTCGTATTACTTCAATACTTCATTTAATGTAAACGTATTTAGTGTGAAGTTGATATGCAACTAAGGTTAATGAGAGTATGACGCCTCTACAGTATGGAAGCTTCAAAGATTGTCTTGATATTTTCGTGTAATCCTTTAATACTGGTAAACATATGAGGTCCATTGATGCTTATGGTGTCAATATAAGAACCAGCTGTAAACTACAAATACATTTATTTGCATGAGATATTACTTAGTATTAACAGAATCAGTGTATTCATAGTGTGTGCTAATATGTAGAATTATCTTTCATAACTTCATGTTGTGCTAGTCCTTACATGTGCTTCATTTTTTTCAGGTAAACGGAGGTTGTCGAATATGAAACCAGCGGAAATATCATTCGGTCAAACTAACGTTAATACTCTTCATCGGGATTTTCTTTTGTAAATTAATGAAATGTCTAATATACTCTTCAATTCTACTTCCTCTAGACTTTTTCAGTGCGTCGCTACACTATGTGCTTTTGTAATATGTGAATTTGGATCAATGCATGTTAAGCTTAGTTAGTGGGGTGGAGATTTACTATAGTATTATGAGACTGTTACTTTAGCCCTTCGTAAGATTTCGTCTGTTTCTATACATTAGCATATTGTAAAAGCTAAGTAAGATTTAGCAAGTTGAATAATAATTCTGTACTGTTCGATACGCTAAAATCGCCTTATCTAGCCAGTTGCAACTCTGTGCACTGTTAAACGTCAAGTATGAAGTACAAGTAAATGTAATAACTTAGGCTTGATAGCTACTTCACTAATCTGTTAATATGCAGTGACATCATCACATAGACTGTGTACTTGACAGTGAGCAAAGAAACAATTTCCACCTATTTCTAATATGCCGTTGAATCATGTGATGTTATCTAATATCCATCATTTCTATGATCAACAACTGCGGTGTTTGCATATCTACTTAATGAATGCTAAATAACTCACGCCTTTATGCATCTAATTACCTCTGGTATTACAACAGTATTTCCTATTCATTTGATGTGTGTACGTTGAACGAGGCATTCATACATTCTCCCACAAATGCCAAGGTTTCTGGTGTCATAAGTGTTAATAAGAGTTGCTTCCTTGGTTTCAATACAAATGACGTCCTAAAATATCTCCAGTCGTTGAACCCTTCTTGTAGCCTAGTTCCAGATTGTTTGCCTAGCCTTGTTCTTAAAAAATGTGCAGATATCCTGTGTTATCCTCTCACATATTTAATGAATCTTTTTCCAGAAATGTTGTGCCAGCAGTTTGGAAGGACTTTAAAACTGTACCTATGTAACAACAGAAGACAAGGGCCAGGCAACAGATCGTTTATTACGAAAAATCAACACGTATTTATAGATTTTTATGTACATCATTGTAGGTCAACGTTAGCAGAAAGTACAGTCTGTTGATTGATTGTTTCTCACACAAAGTTAACCTTGCATCGCTTGTGGCTGTGTCAGTTCATCTATATGTTAACTGTATCCGCCTGTCCACCTTGACCTTTGACCTCAATTACTGTCAACCAATTTGGCCAGCAAACATCTCTCACCACAACATGACTAATATTTGATACATAAACATTGACCTCAATTACTGTCCACCACTTGGCTAGTAGACAGCTCTCACCACACTCGTCCCCCCGTCAAATAGTTTGGACTGAAGTCGGCTCGGTCTTCTCGGTTCTTGGGGCTTTGCTCTGTTGTCTTGCTGTCTGGAATCTCGGCGCTTGCGGATGTCCACTTGTTTAACGGTGTTTACCATTGCGATTGTGTCTGCGTAACCCCATCTCAACGTGACCATATATGGTCCTTCCCACTTTGGAAACTGTTTGCCTGACCCTGTCGCACATTCGTAGGTATTTCGCCTCACACTTCCATATGCTGCTTTCTCCCGACCTCCCAGCAGCGTCCCAAGTAGCAGCCTCATCGCTGACAGATCTTGAACGCTAGTAGACAGCTCTCACAACACCTATACCTAAGTCGTCTAATGGACCATGTTTTAAATTTAGACCTATTGCTATTATCTCCCCTTTTCTAAAAGCTATGGAAAAGTTACTCTTACTTAATCTCCAACCTTCACTTAAATCCTTTAACGATCTCAAATGATTCGCCTATAAACACAGTAGAAGTACTTTAGATGCAGCTGCATTTTCTCCATTATAGTCGTCCAGTACCAATTGTATTTTTGTTTGGCGAACTTAATGTACATATGCATACGAAATGAAATATGTTAAGTGCGCGGACTAACTATTCCAGTGTCTTTTAATTCGCATCTACACTGTACTAAGATGAACAGCTCTCCATCAGAAGTCAGAAAATGCTTTTAAACTAATTCCTTCCAAATGTCAGACTGTCAATTTCAGTTCCGATGTAAAAGAAAGTTAGATGAGGCTGTTAATTCCTATGACCGTTGCAAAATTGATGAGAGTGGTACAGAAAACAAGTCTGACGTTAGGTATCTCGGACTAATTCATCACACAGCGTCTTAGCCTTAAAT